TGAGACTCAAGAGTCTTCCCGGGAATTTTATTACATGGAATAATTTTGTGATGAGGAATATCAAGTTTGATGTGTTTAATACGCCAATGGAGTTGAAGAGTCATAAAAATACATACTAAACCTCTCACACACACACGTACGAGAAATGAAATACCGCGTGGTTGCATATATACTTGTGTCGTACGAAAGCTACATACGTTTAGTTGGAGCCCCTGCTAACGCTTAGAGTACTCCTGACAGTGAAACTGTACAAGCATGTGGCGTGTGGGTGCCACTACTGTACTGCACGTCCGTGATGCGACCCGATCGTGTGGTGGACAGCGGCCTGTCTTGATTAAGCAGGGTTGAACCTAATTAGTAGTACATCAGTTGTGCCTTTGTAGATAGAATAGAAAGCTGATGTGGAGGTTAGTTAATTACCAGCCGTACGTGTGTCTAGCTTGCTGGAGATGCAGTAACTCAATTTGGGTCACATCTCACATGGCTCTAGGCAGCATCGATCAGAGGCGACACCATGAAAATGCGATTTTTTTTTGCTGGTGAGTACAACTTAATAATTGAACGAAAGAGTCTAAGACGCGACACCAGGTACCAGATATATCATGCTTTTTGAATTTTATATATAGGACCCGTTCGGTAACTTACCATCTCCTTCAAATTCTCTCATTCAAAATCTATGGAGGCGAGCGGAGGGACACCGAACGCGCCCTTGCACACAAGGAACGACACTAAATGTTTTTACGACAAATGGTTAAAAGAATCCATTTACTCTAGATGTTTAGATGCTTTGTCTTGTGGGTTGGCGGGATGTAGATGATACATCAAGCTCCATTTGTCATTTTTTTATAGAAAAAAACTCCGTGAGCATTAAACGCTCAAGCCAAGACTTGAATCGTGGTGGGTTGGCTATGAACTCCTGTAGCTTGCGAACTGAGCTACTCAATAAAGAATTACATGAAAGCTACAGAATTTGCTAGGATAATCAAATACACCAGGCACTGAAATTTTATTCGGGTCAACGAATCAATAATAGGCCGGCGTGGAATATATCTACAGGCACGTAGGGTGGTTGGGATGCCGTGTTGGAATCTTCTTTCCCTCAGCAGATGCAAGATTCATCCAACCAAACCCCCGGTATGGCAAGGATCGGATATTTTCTTTTTCTGTATGTATCGAACTGCGCGTCGTCAGAGAAGAACCGTTCCAACCAATGACGCTCGTCCACGTACCCCAATTGAGTCTAAAAAAAAGTTTTGCACGTCAACTTGTGTATACCATCAAAGTTTTGCCATTGCATATTCGTGCGATTATACATCCCCTCCCCAACCAAGTTGGTTGGGCTGAATTTTTTGACTTCGTCTTTGTAAAGCATGAATTGAATGACGGTGTATATGTTCCTTCTTTGATTCGTACGTACAACAACCTCTTTGATTCATCCGCAACAAAAAGACCTCTTTGATTCGTGCGGTTTTCAAGATATAAATGAGGCGAGGATCGAATGAATGTTTGCTCTCTACCGGAGCTTGAACACAAAAGGGCTGAGCTCGAGCTCATGTGAGCTCGGGTGAACTAGTACAAAATAAAAAAATTCTGATTTTTTTTAGCAAACATTGTAAAAAAAATTGGTTGCTTGCAAAGTTTCAACATCGAATGACATTCATGGAAAATTGTGGCAAGGAAATCAATGCTCCAAAAGTGTTATTTTTAAAAGCATTTTGGAGCATCTTTTTTTTTCCATGTCTTCCGGGAATGTCATTTCGTGATGAATTTTTACAAGTAGTGAAAACATTTGTCAATGTTTGCTACAAAAAAAATCAGAATATTTTGGATAATTTCCTTTTTTTTATTTTACTGTTCACTCGAGCTCGAGCTCAAGCTCAGAAAAGAACTTTCACGTCAAGTACAACTATAAAGGTCA